GACTTGCTATCGCTCGATTTGCGTCATCGAACGTAGCTATCGTCTCGGGTAAGTCTACTAAGTTTACTACTTGAGTTTGACCTCAAGGCGATGCCAGTCCACTACGGTTTTGGTCGGAGGGACCGCGCCGGCGTTCTGGCCCAGTTTGCACAGGACCGGCCTGTGGTCTGATTCTAATTCTTGGATTGTCTCTATCGACGCGATGTCGAGGGAGACCTCCTTGAACAACATGATATCAAGAATACTCGGTGTCGAATGCTGGTAATCGTCCACCGTAGGATATCTTATGGGAGTCACAGGAGCGATTATGCTATAATTTAAATCGTCAGATAAGTTAAAGAGCTGCCTACCGTTGTTGTTAGCGTAGGTTTGGGGGTCCCATGAGCCGTGTTTGCAGTTTAGATCTCCTGCAATTATCACGGAAGGGCCTAAGTTAAGTAGCGTTTCTAAATCGCTTTGTAGAAGAGTTTTATTCCCCGAGAGGTAGGCTGAAACTAGTACAAGCGGCCTGTGGCCGGTGAGCGCTAACCTACACGCGGATGCCTCTATATGTCTTAGCTCTGGGATATCGAGCGGGCTACAGTGCAAGGACCGTTTATAATATATTAAGGTACCTCCCAGACGGTTTGCTAACCGGTCGTGGCGGACTATATTATAATTTGCGATTTTTGGATCGCGTCTGCTAGGTTTCAAGAAGGTCTCTTGCACTAGAAATATATCGACGTTATAATCGCGAAGGAATTCTGCGATTTCGTCCCTTTGGCCCCTAATGCCGTTTGCGTTAAAATACGAAACAACCAGAGCCCGAGGTTTTAATCTACCTGCGGTTGTACTTTCCATTTTAGTTTTAGTAGCGGTTCTAGGTAACGACGCGGCGAAGCGCGGTTTTATTGCCCGGACTATAAACCTTTATGGTTGATTTGTAAACACCCAAAGGGCGTCTACAAGTTTTTTGTGCTCGTTGAGCGCATTAAGTCGATCGGTGCCACATGTGGCGGCCGATAACTTTGTAGATAGGACGGCGAGCTCTTCCCGGTTTATGCGTTCCAGGAAGCTGCAGATGTTTGCCATTTGGGCAAAAGGGTCGTCTTGGTTCGCGGAAACGACCGGTGTAATAAAATGCACCTGCGGCCTCGGTGCTTGTTGTTTGACAGGCTGCGGTTGGAATGTCGTCGGTCGTGAGGCGACCGGAGGCGCGGCTACCTGCGCGACTGCCTGAGGTTTCGCCCAGGCGTTTACGACGGGTGGGTGCGGGCGCGGGAATGTACTTCGCCGGCGCGGATTTCGGGGCCGCGATTTTCGCGAGCGTAATTTTTGCGGGTGCTTTCCTCGCGGGGGTTTTTGGAGCTTTAGCGCAGCCCCTGTAGCTAGCCGGGTGGCCGGTAGTCAAACAATTTACGCAGGCCGGTGGATCTGCGCAATCTTTAGGTCGCGTGCAATCTGTCGTGCCGTGGTCACCGATGCATTTGACGCACCTAGGGTGAGCAAAACAGTTGCGGGCTGTGTGGCCATAGTGTTGGCAGTTATGACACGGCGCAACAACGCCTGACTTCCGTGGAGGCTCAACGACGAGTTCGCTAAGCCCACAGAGCCTCTTCAAATTAAAAATTGCCTTACCTTCCGGGGTAGGGTCCAACTCCACCATTACAATGTCCATCGGGACACGGGTTCTGGGGTGACGTAGGCGACGAACGGCGTGCACCGGGTATCCCTGAGTGCGGATGTCGATTTTTACATTGTCGACATCCGACTCTTTCGGGATTCCCTTTATGACTACCCGAAGTTTGCGTTCTTCAGGCAGCGAGTAGGTATGGAAACCTACTTGTTTTCGCGTAAATATTTAGTGACGCGGCGGAAGTCATCGATGCTATCGAGGTATACACGGATACCTTGATGGGTGTTCTTCGACCGGGGGTCTCGAATATTGTGGCGTTCGAACCACACGCAAATTTGATGCCATTTAGCTTTCTCCTGGATGATGATAGGCGGAGGAGGCTTGGCTTTTCTTTCGGCGGCGTATTCGGGTGCCGGTTGGACTGCCGCGGCCGCCTTTATGGCGGGCGTCGCAGTGGATCTATTAAATGAGGTGGCGGCCTCGCTTTCGGGGTCGCTATCTACAGCGGGGCGTTTCTTGCCCTTCTTTTTTCGTCCAGCGACGACGGTGAAGCCGTCGTCATTGGGTTTACCGGCGGGAGTTAAATCTACCTCCATATCCGATCCGCCGTCCGAGTATGAGTCGAGTACGACGGTGCACAAGGAGGCCGGGGTAGCTTGCGAGGAAGGCGCGACGGGCGTGTTCGCAGCGGCGGATGTCGACGCGACGGGCGCTTCTTGCGTCGCGGAAGGCAACGGGGTTACGGACGCAGAGGGCGCTGGAGATGGCGGCGATGCGATTGCCGGTGAAGGCGGGCTGTCGTTGGCGTATTCAACGACTAATCGTTGTTCGGATTCGAACGCTAGGTAGCTTTGCCCATTCGTGCAACAGCCGAGGCTGCTGCGTGGCTTCACCGTATTTAATATACACCTCTGCGTCCATAATTCTAAAAATAAAACTTGGTACAGTCCTTTATTCGGGTCCATGAAATGCGCAGTACTCATTTGTATACAAGTCATTTGACTCCTTGATTTTACGCCATTATTATACACATTAAATGAAACTAGTTTACGAATTTTATTTAAATTTTGAGTCAGTCCCGTGACCATGAACGCTGGAAAACGTTCGAAACGTCAGGAATTATAAAATCAAAATTAAAACCCAATGTTTTTTTTTTGTTTGTATTAATGCAATCTGTTTCTATGAACATTAAGCATTAGGTTAAGTATTTAGAATAGATTGTCTTGGAGGGCAGTCGGTCCAGTGACGTGTGCCCATTGTTTATCATATTCCCTATAAATCTCTAGGGGACTTTCTTTTTAGTCTCTTAAATGTTGGGTTACTTTTCATTAAGTTTGAAGCCGTTTGGCCGTAGGAGTTTGGATGAGAGTCCAATCTGTTCTTGTATGATTCTATTGAGTATTTAATCTCTTCTTGTATTGTTCTGATTTCTAGATCGTGGTGAAGTTGTTGGTTTGAACCAAGGAGCATTAGTTATTATCCTCAGCATTTTGGACTGGAATCTTTGAAGTGTTTCCAGGTTTGAGTTGGCAACTGTGCCCCAAAGTTGTACTCCGTAAGTCCAGATTGGTTTCAAAATACATTTGTATAGAAGTAATTTATTTTCCAGTGATAACTGTGATTTTTTGTCCAGTAGCCAGTACATTTTCCTTAGTTGGATTCCCAGTGCTTTTCGTTTTGTAAAGATATGTTTTTTCCAAGTCAGACGACGATCTAAATAAAGCCCAAGGTATCTGGCTTCATTTGCTTGGGGTATCTGTACTCCGTTGAGCCATACAGGGGGACATGTTTCTCGTCGCGTTGTGAAAGTCACTTGTATAGACTTAGATTCGTTTGCTTTTATTCGCCATGTGTTTAACCAATTCGTGATGTTGTTTAGAGAGCGTTGAAGCATGTTACTTGCTTGTGCTGGATCGTCATGGGAAGTTAAGGCTGCTGTGTCGTCAGCAAAAGTGCCAATCACAACGCCGTCTGTCATGGGCAGGTCTGCGGTAAAAATAAGATAGAGAACTGGACCAAGTACACTTCCTTGTGGCACTCCTGCCTGAACTCTATGGAGTTTGGTTATATCCTCTCCTTGCTTAACGTAAAAAAATCTGTCAGCAAGATAATTATGATTTTAAGAATATATAATAGTTTGTCGGGAGTAAGTTTTTTATTTTGTGTAATAAACCTTCGTGCCAAACTTTGTCAAAGGCCTGGGATATATCCAAAAATGCTGCGCAACAGTATTTCTTATTTTCGAAGGCTTTATGGATTTCTTCAACCAGTCTATGCACCTGTTCTATTGTACCATGATGTTTTCTAAAACCAAATTGGTGGTCTGGAATGATGTTATTTTGTGTTATTACTATGTTCAATCGTTTTGAAAACAGTATTTCCATAATTTTTGACAGAATGGGTAGCAAGCTAATTGGTCTGTAGGAGGATACATCTTCAGGAGCTTTGCCAGGTTTAAGGATCATTTTAATCTGCGCTATCTTCCATTGCGGTGGGAAGATGCCTCTGATCAATATGAAGTTGAAAAGGTGTGTTAAAAAAATTATTGCTTTTTCAGGTAGCTCACGGAGTATTTTTGCTGTAATTAGGTCGTATCCAGGGGCTTTATTTTGATTTAAATTTTTAATGGTTTCTGTGACCTCACGTATCATAATCTTTTCAATTGGTAAGTCTAGTTGGTAAGGTTCATTTAGGAAGTTAATAATTTCATCACCTTTGGATTCCGATGGGTTATGGGCAGTGTTTGGTACGAAGACATCGGCCAAATGAGAGGCGAAGGCTTCACCTTTCTCTAGGTCACTTTTTGCCCAGGAACCGTCCTTTTTGCGTATTGGTGGATTAGAGACGGTAGGTCTTTTAATTCTTTGGGTTGTTTTCAAAAGAGAGTAGTCACTAGTAGTCGTTGCATCTAGATTACGTAAGTGGTTCTGGATCTTTTCATTTTTTTCCATATATAGTTTTTTAAGTTTTGTCGTTAAGTAGTTCAACCGTGTTTTATCTCGGGGAAATCTGGTATTTTGTCATAATTTGCGAGCCTGCCTTTTTTCGGCAAATAGTTCTCTAATAGGTTTTGAGTAGTATGGTTCCGTGCGTTTCTTAACAATAGGAGTACTACTATCCCAAGCAGCCTTTTGAACACACTCGTTGAAATGTTCGACCGCTAATGCAATATCCTCTTCGGTTTTAAGAGGCAGATTAGTATTGGTTGTAGACTCCACTATGGAACGAAACATATCCCAGTTTGTCCTACTTTCATGTAACCTTGCTGCAGGTTTAACGTATACGAATTCCTGTAAAAAAACCCAATGTAATACGCAAACTAGTTTCATTTAAAATACAAGTAGTCACTAAATTACTAGATAAAGACGAAGACCCCTTGTTTCAGGAATGCCCAGATGGCGTGGTCCACGAGGAGTCTTTCAAGGACATCTACGCCAAGTTCTTCCCCCACGGAAGTGAGTATGCATATTGAATGAAAGAATTTTAAAACGGTTGGGTCAGCGGCTGCTTGTTTCATTATCTGTTCCACTATAACTGCCTGAAAGAAATAAGAAAATACTCTAAAGCCGATGTTTAATCTGAAAATAATGTTTCGATCTAGCAATTTCATGTTGTACAGCCACACAGCCATTTAGGGGTCAATCAGGTCACTACCTCACGGAAGACTGGAGCAGATGCCTCTATACCTCGCCGAAAATGAAAAGGAATCATTTCATATTTTCAAAAGCAAGATTCTTATTTTTCTTACTGCGATTCGCCGGGATATGAAGTTACTAGCTCCTGCCCGCGACTGCGTCTGCGTAGAATAGGGTGAACGCGTAACATTCAGACAGAAAGACAGATATACATAAAATATGTATATAAATTATAGCCTATGTCTTATTTTGATGTACAAGCTATATTATTGTTAAGTTTCATTAAAATCCATTCAGTAGTATTTGCGTGAAAGAGTAACAAACATCCATCTATGCATACAAAATTTCGCGTTAATAATATTAGTAAGGATAGATAATAAGTCCACTTTCAAACACGTCCGCTGTTAACAAAGATTGGCCACTGATACTGCAGAGTCATACAATTTGACAGTTATCTTCTCGTTCACAGATTCTGCACTGTATGCGCACTACGTGTTCAAAGCTTTCGACGTGAACTGCAGCGGGGCCATCAGCTTCAGAGTGAGTACGCATTGTAATATTTTTATATTAGTACGCATTATAGATAATAGTTTAGAATTTTTATCTGTGGTAGGGCCACACAGTAAGTTCGTCTATGCTCTATGCTTCGTCTATTGCTTTACTCTACGGCCAAGTACCACGGCCTCGCAGAACTGTGTCGTGAAGTTTAATATAACTATTCTTTCGCAATTGGTCTAGGGGACCGCTGCAATAGACGAACTATATTGAATTATAACTTTATTGGCCTGTAGACCCCATCCCATTTGGGAAGACCTTTGGTGAGCTGATATTGCATTTTTGAACATTCATAGACTTAATTGAATCTAAATATAGTGAGGTGTATAAGAAGTAAAAAAAGCATGAAAAACAAGTTAAAACGAAACAAATTAATATTACCTAAAACCTGAAAATAAGTGAAAACAAATATATTAAGTTTGTTTTTCATGTTTTGATAATAAATTTTCAAAATTAAGCGTCAAATTACTAAAAAAGAATATCAAATCGTCTTCATCATTCTATCAATGAAAAGTTCAAATTCAACTCCTTGTAGGTCGTCGTCGACATTTCAAGTTTAAGTCTGTTCTGTGTGAAGGGGTGTAGAATGTTCGAAACGTCGCGAATATAAAATAAAAATCATAAATAAACAACAAATCAAATTAAAACAATACTTTACGGTGGTAGGGCCAAGCAGCAGCCTCGGCTGTTGCACGAATGGGCAGGCTCATCCGGGTAAGTACCACGACCTCACAGAAGACCGGCATCAAGTGGAAGTATAATACTTTCGCGTTTCGTCTGGTGAGTGAGGTAGCCGGAGCCCAATTCTCAAAAGGTTGTCAACACGTCTGCACCCCTCGGGTGTAGCAGATGTCCATGGGCGGCGGTATTCACTTAACATCAGGTGAACCGCCTGCTCGCTTGGCAACTTTTCACATAAAAAAAATAATGAAATTGTAAAACTTATAAAATTAATATAAACTGCCCTAAATAAAACTTGTGCTTCAAAGAACAGGTTCACCTGAAAGTTAATACTTTCAATTCGTCGATAATCATTAAAATCTCGCTTCACATCACAAGATAGATAGATATACATTTTTTATATTTGACGTTATCGATTCAGCGTGCCGCAGGAGCGCTACCTCATGAAGATGGAGCCCAATACGTGCTCTGGCATGGCGATCGCAATCTGGTCTATTAAAAAATGTCGGTGCGGATAAAAACGAGTACACTCGCCTAAGATATACTTTAAAAATACCCTTCCTTATTTTATTTTCCCGTGGGGAAGTTTTAACGTCGAACTTTTATAGCCATTCTTACTTACTGGCTGGATGACGGTTTTGTGCTTTGAGAAAGTTTTTGTTAAAAAAAAAAGATTTGTAAAGACGCTCGGCGCGTATTCAGCAGCAGTTTTGGCGGGAAGCAGCTGAGTCAGGCAATTACTTGTTTGTTACTTAAAAATAACTTTCTAAAACATTTATTACATGAAATAAATGTTTCAGTAAGTTTGGTACATTGTGAAATATACCATCACTTCGATTATCGAATAATGATATATTATGATTGTTTTTGTGAATTTTCTCTCGCCAGTTGTTTTTCACATTGATTTTCATCAGGATATTATATCGTGACGATCTTTTTAACTCTCCGCGCAAGAAGACTAGTGGCATCTATTATCGCTAATTCTCTTCTTACACCTGCCCTTATCTCATTCAGGTGGGGTCGGCAGAATACGATTGTAGTCGTCAACGATTTAAATTTTTATTGTGTTAATCTCTGCACATAAGATTAAACATAAAATTTTTGTAGAAAAAGGAACGAAAGGTTTATCGCCGCCTGTGGGAATCGAACGCACGTTTTCGGGATTCGCGCCCTGACGCTCTAGCCACTAAGCTAGACGGCTGATTGCCACACCGACGAAATTCTCAACGCCCTTTATCTACATTGTATTTTAGCATTGTTGTTTAACGCCTCTAAAGAAGTTCTTATTCTTATATATGAATTAAGCCAATTTTTATATATGAATTACGCCAATCATCAAGCGGTCGTGTGATTAATTATGCCTTAACCTATTACAGATAGTATAGAGGAGGCGGCTGCTTTGCAGCGAGACATATAATATAATATGTCTCACTGCAAAGCAAAACCTATATAGGCTTACTTTCTTTTGCTACTTTAAATTTAATAAAACTCACTTTTAATACATAACCTTACAAACACAATAAATTCAATGTATATAAGGCATATGTTGACGATACTTTAGATCAATAATACTTGAAAGAGCTGAAAGTGTTATAGGGTCCCATAATTTTTGATAGGTAGATCCTACCTATCAAAAATTATGGGACCGCACGCGGCGCGTTTTTTTTTCCGCCAAAACAACCGGCGCCATCTTGACTCGCCGCTATTTCGTCTCGTCGAAACGTCAAAAGTATTTATAGATAAGACTTGTCGTTACGCGTCGTACTTAAACAGTATTACTGGGCGGGATTTGTTTACTAAAACTATGTGGGGCTTGCGAGAATAGAATGGCGTGGAACTTTGTTGTTTGCGTGGGAACCGCTGTGAGTGGGGACTTGGGGAATATTGTATTAATAGCGTACGGTGCATTGAAACGTAATGCCAGCGGAAAGTAAAGTAAATAAATAATTAAAATATCAATTTATAAATAAATAAAATATTTTCTGGACAAAATTTTACACATCGTTATTTAGTCCCAAAGTAAGCAAAGCTTGTTATATGGGTACTAGGTAACTGATAAATGTAATTAAACATCTGTACTTTTTTATTATATATTATGATATACAATTAAACACAATAATTTTTTTTTCTGTCGTGGGGATCGAATGCAAGAAACAGGCTCACTATCAACTACGCAAATATCGAATGTTTGTCGGCCGATCTGGCCGACTGTCTAACATATGATAAGGAGTGACGTTACGGACGGCATACAGTCAACTTAAGCTCTTGTATTTTTTATTCGTAAAAATAGTTATTGAGGATATTCTCAGTTGTTTGTGTTAAAATAAAGGTTCGGATATCTTAACTGAGCTGTGTTATCGTTGTGGATTGCAGTGGATAAGTAATTGTGTAAAAAATTGTGTGTTTATTTCCCCGTGTAATTAATATTGTCTCCTTTCATTAAATCTCAGTGGAGGGTAGGCAGCACCTCAGAACCACGAAAAACACTTGCTACATGCGTTAATGTGGAGATAATGTCATATGTCGTAAGGCGAGTTAAACTGGCCTTTGTAGTTATTTAATCACATAATATTATAATACATTTGTAAGTTTCCATATTCGTAATACGTTTTACTTTTTTTAAACGTTTTAAACGTCTACGTTTTTAGTCTAGGGTCAGGGGACAGACTAAAGTGGAAAAGGTGGAAAGGGATAGGGACAGGTAAGGCTTTATATCAATTAAATATAAATATAATAAAAAAAATAACGGAAGTAATAGATATATATTATTTTGACCGATTAACGCGATAACTACTTTACAGCTGAGTGAATCTTGCAGTGCCGGATTCAATATAATGAATTTTGACGTACCAATGTTCGCAACAATACCCAACCATGTTGAAAAATTGGAAAACAAGAATGGTGTTGTCTCTAATAAGTCGATTTGTAGATTTAATTAATAGCGATGTCAACATCGATTTATTATTATAATAACTAACCGTGAGTAATATGCCGAATTTAACAGTAGTTAAACGTATTCTTTTTGTTAAATAAAACTATTTAACCTAAAATCCGTTTATTTAGATGTTTCATTTCACGACGTTTCGAACCCTTTCCAGCGTTCATGGTCACGGGGACGGACAGAGTTGTTTCACGACTTAATGTAAGATCTAACTCTACCGTCAATATTTTATTATTTATTTATATTCCGGTTTACAAGGAGTTTTTATGGTATATTGAGGTCTAGCAGTGTTTGTGTGCTTGAGCTTAAATTTATTGCTTTTTGATTTCAAAAGGCATTTCAACTACCGCCACCTATAAACATCCACAACACTATGAATGTGGCAGGGGTGTCCCCAACCACTTAAAGTGTCCCCGGTTACCTCACTCACGAAACAAACGTATAAGTAACTAGCTGCTGCCCGCGACTACCTCTGAGTAGAATAGGTTGAAGGCGTAACATTCAGACAGAAAGACATATACAGCGTGTCTTTACCATCGCGACAATAAATGAACACACATTTAGAGGATAACTTTTTAAAATTGTATTAAAGATTTACATTCTTTAAACATCAATATTTAACGAGTTATCAAATTTTCCAAAAAAAAAGAATTTTAGAAAAACCTTAGGTATAAAACTTTAATGTAAAGTTCATATGTAAAGGTCACAAAGCATATGAATGGGTTGAATGAATTTAAAAGAGACAAAACATACTGTTAGAAGGCGAGGCTTGTAATGCGGCGCTGTGGCAACGAATGAAAAAGTGTCTGAATGTATGAATCACTCAGATGTAGTTGTATAGGATGTTACAAATTTTGTTTCTTTTTTACTTAATTAGTTTGTTTGAAAAATATTTTTTTAATTATGGATTTTTTTAACGTTAAAATTTTTTATGATTATTGGCAGGTAGTGTTAGACGTGTGTTCATTTATTGTCGCGGTGGTAAAGACACGCCTACATAAAAATATGTATATAAATTATAGCCTATGTCCTATTCTGATGTATAAGCTATATTATTGTAAAGTTGCATTAAAATCCATTCAGTAGTATTTGCGTGAAAGAGTAATAAACATCCATCCATACATACAAACTTTCGCCTTATTAATATTAGTAACGATTTAAATCACACCTGTTTTCCTAGAGGTCGTGGTACTTCACCAGTGCGCGGTTTCGTGCAGAACAATCGTAATGCAAGCCAATGAATGAATGAATGAATGAATGAATACTTACCCTTTTATTGTCCACCACAATTGAGAGTATACATAAAAGTGACGGTAGAACAACAAATTTTTGTAATGTACAGTTTGGCGGCCGTATCGCTTCA